CGCTCTGCTGGTGTGATTTGCGTGGCAGGCGCAGCGCTTGGTGCTCTCCAAGGGGTCGGATGTACGCCCTGCCGTCCATGGGTCGCCGCCGCTCTGCTGGTGTGATTTGCGTGGCAGGGGCAGCGCTTGGTGCTCTCCAAGGGGTCGGACATCTGGCGTCCATGGGTCGCCGCCGCTCTGCTGGTGTGATTTGCGTGGCAGGCGCAGCGCTTGGTGCTCTCCAACGGGTCGGATGTATGCCCTGGCGCCTGGCGTCCGTGGGTCGCCGCCGCTCTGCTGGTGTGATTTTTACGTGCAGGCGCAGCGCTTGGTGCTCTCCAAGGGGTCCCTGGCGTCCGTGGGTCGCCGCCACTCTGCTGGTGTGATTTGCGTGGCAGACAGCGCTTGGTGCTGCTCTGGATGTACGCCCTGGCGTCCGAGGGTCGCCGCCGCTCTGCTGGTGTGATTTGCGTGGCAGGCGCAGGATGTATGCCCTGGCGTCCGTGGGTCGCCGCCGCTCTGCTGGTGTGATTTGCTTGGCAGGCGCAGCGCTTGGTGCTCTCCAACGGGTCGGATGTACGCCCTGGCGTCCGTGGGTCGCCGCCGCTCTGCTGGTGTGTTTTTTACGTGCAGGCGCAGCGCTTGGTGCTCTCCAAGGGGTCCCTGGCGTCCGTGGGTCGCCGCCGCTCTGCTGTTGTGATTTGCGTGGCAGACAGCGCTTGGTGCTGCTCTGGATGTACGCCCTGGCGTCCGAGGGTCGCCGCCGCTCTGCTGATGTGATTTGCGTGGCAGGCGCAGGATGTATGCCCTGGCGTCCGTGGGTCGCCGCCGCTCTGCTGGTGTGATTTGCTTGGCAGGCGCAGCGCTTGGTGCTCTCCAAGTCCGTGGGTCGCCGCTCTGCTGGTGTGATTTGCGTGGCAGGCGCAGCGCTTGGTGCTCTCCAAGGGTCGGATGTATGCCCTGGCGTCTGTGGGCTGGTCTCCGCCGCTCTGCCGGTGTGATTTGCGTGGCAAAGCCTTTTCCTGCTAGGCTGGTCTTGAAAAAGGGGCTCTCGGTACACTTTTCGATTTGTGCTCGACTGCACTCCTCATTTGGAACTCGATCCGAATCATGTCGGACACTGGAGAACGTGCTTCTCTGAAGCTTCAGCCCAAACCCCTTTAAGGTGTTCGAAAGAGGGTATATCCTACCCAAGAGTGCTGCAAGTGGCCACTCCGTTGGCCTTGGTTCATCAACGATCACGTACTTTTCCTTCCTGATCGTGGCCCACGCAATCGTCAAGCGCCAGGGCGACCAGTACCTTCTCCCCCCATAGATTTGGGGAAAAATCAAACAACTTCTTTCGCTCCTGCATGTGTTCTCGCACAGCGACCTTTGCCCCACCCGGCAGCTCCTCGATCGTCAGCCATGTGTCCTTGGCCGCCGTTCTCTTTGGAGGGATCCCAACCTTCCGCTCAGTGAACGGGAGAAGAAGCCAGGTTGGAACTGTTCATCCATCAGGAAGTCCCACACCCTCACGTCGAAGATGTAGCCTCTTCCCCGACTTTCTCCACCTTCCTGAGATGCCATCGGTCGGGACGTTCTCTGAGCCGTCCCATGTTCATTGTAGATCACGTGGGTGCCCTCTGAGTCCATCCCGCTGGGTGACGTCTTCCAGCTTTGGCTTCTCTTCTTCTTCTGGGGTCTTGATCTGTCCGAGCGCCGCTCGTCCATGCTCATCGTACTCAGGAAGAAGTTCTCCATGTAGGGCCTTTGGTGGATCGCGAAGTCTCCACCCTTTTTCCCGACTTCCATCAGCAGGAAGCGAACTGGCTCTCCTCCTTCACGAACCCATGTCCCCGATCTTCCATGTCTCTCGGACCTTGCCTTGGCCTGGTCTCGACCGGTTCTTTCCGCCTCTTCCTTCAGCTCCTCCATCTCCCGGCAGTTGATCGGATCCACGGCCTCCGACTCAGTCAGCAGGGCTCCATACCCCTCCACCATGGATGGTCTCCATTCCTCCATGTTTTTCCGAACGTCAACCAGTCCCACCATTCGGGTCTGCAAAAACTCTCTTCCAACAGCTCGAGCTCCTGTGACAGCAGCGTCGCACCTCGGCGATGCACTCCTATATGTGCGACAAGGTGGACCTCCCAACAGTGCCCAAAGCGTGCCGCCGTCGGCAATCTCGAGGAGGTATAGGCGAACACGTCGTCGCGAAGCAAGTTCATGCCCGGTCAATGACCGTGTCCACACAGAGCAGTACTTCTTGGTGTCTCCACTGAACAGGTGCACCACCGCTTCTTTGGCCTTCCTCACCCTCCTTCGCTCGCGCCGGTTCCAAGGGAGTGACTCCCCCGTTCCCGTACCATGCTCCTCTCAATTTCTCTATATCAGCTCTCTGCCCAACTCCTCCGTCTCGGTCGGACGCATGCCCTCCACCACGACATCCAGCAGCGCCCCACTCGTGTCTGTGCTCAATGGCTTTCACCGAGGCGCGTCCATCATTCGCTGGCCTCAGACTCTTCAAAAGCGTTGTCGCCTCCGACAACAAGGCTTGAACTTCTCCCAAACTGGCGGGTTTCTCAATCTTCTTCTCATCCGTGGGTTCATCAGCCTGGGCGTTGACGTTCTCCGGGACCGATTGTCAGTCAGGGATCTCCACATCGGCCCACGCCTGACTCGGTTCATCCTTTCTCCCACGATCCCGTGTCACCGGCGGCGGCGCCCTGCGTGGTGAAGGTGGCGGCGTCGATGTCGGTGGTCTTGGCTTGTCTTCGATCGCCTTGACCGCCTTGAACTTGGCTTCCACCGTCTTCCGGAGCTCAGACCTGGGTGGACTTACCTTCCTAGTGCAGGGTCGTTGGGCTCATAACCTAGGCTGGTCTTGAAAAAGGGGCTGTCGGTACACTTTTCGATTTGTGACCGACTGCAGGATATACGCCCATGGCGTCGCCCTGGCGTCGCTGGGTCTCCACCCCGGGCGCGGTACTTGGTGCTCTTGGTCGGGGTCGGATGTACGCACTGGCGCCGCCGCCGCCAACCACCAACCACCAACCACCAACCAACCACCACCAACCACCACCAACCACCAATTGTCCGCTCCTAAGTTGTTAACATGTGGGGTTATCCGGTCCTATAATTGTCAGATTGATTTGACTATTGGAATTGCTGAGACCCAGGAGCTCACGTTCAACTATGAGTAGTTTTTTGTTGCGCTCACTCAGTCCCTGTAGGTTGACTTGTGGGACGAGCAGTTGGGCCTTGATTTCGCTCAGTCCACTTTATTCAAAACAAAGTGGACTAGAATCATCCTCGACGAGGCCCATCGCATCAAGAACACTCATGGAGGCACGTCGCAAGCTGCGGTGAATTTGCGAGGCAAGCGGAGATGGTGCATTTCTGGCACGCCTGTGCAAAATAGAATTGGAGACATATACGGGCTGCTTCGCTTCCTGAGGATGCGCCCATATGGCTTTTATCGGTGCAACAGGAGAGGGTGTGATTGCGAGTGCTTCTGGGTTCGGTGCTGGGAGGGCACACTCATGTGTCAAGCCTGCGGACATCGTCGATCCCAACACCGCAGCATCTTTGCCAGTGACATCTCGGCGCCGATTCGTCAGTTTGGCTTTCTGGATAGTGGCAAGACAGCGTTGGAGAGACTGCGCTTTGAGGTCTTTCAGAAACTCATGCTGCGACGAACAAAAGCCTTGCTTGACCTTCCGGAGTTGCACATCAGCATTAGGAAGATCTCCCTCAGTCCTAGGGAATCTCGGCGCTACAAAGCGATGAAAGAGCAACATCAAGGTGTACTGGAGGCTTTTATCGCAGAAGGAACATTGATGAAGAATTTTGGCCATGTTTTCAGCATCATCATGAGGCAGAGGCAAGCAGCCAACCACCCGGATTTGCCAAAATATTCGGTCGATTCAACATGTCCTTTCTGCCAGCTTGAAGTCGAGGAAGAGCCTGTAAAACTCCACTGCGGGCGACATGAATGCCACGAGGTTTGCTGTCTCGAGGTGATGAGAGAATGTGGTGAAGACGAGATAACTTGCCCAAGTTGCGAGCACGAACAGCGAGCTTTGCAAGGCCCGAACTTGCCCGAGGCTTTAATGGCTGCTGGTCGCCCAGTGCGCGCATCAAGCAAGATCAATACTCTGATCGCAGAAATCTCAGAACTTGAGGCGCCAAAGTGCTTGGTTTTCTCTAGCTTTGCTCACTTTCTTGAGCTCATTGAGTACCACTTGAAGGAGCGCAATGTTACTTGCTCTCGTATTTCTGGCAAGACCAAGATGCAGGAACGTTCTGACATCATCAAGCAGTTCAATACGGAACGGGAGCCAAGCGTCCTCTGTGTTTCACTGCAAGTAGGCGGCGAGGGGTTGAACTTGCAGGCTGCAAATCAAGTGTTCCTCATGGATCCCTGGTGGAACCCCGCAGCGGAGCAGCAGGCGATGCAACGGTGTCATCGTTCCTTGCGCGTGTAATTCGACCGTTTATGACCTTTGTCCCCCTTTGGCCTTTTTGGTTTTCTCTCTGGTTTCCAAACAAAAACAAACGGTTTACGTGAACGAAACAATTTTATATACCCCTAGCGATAGTTCATCCAGGGGTTCGCTCCATCTTCTGCTGCTATCCAGGACTCGGACAGTCGCGACCCGTATACGTGCACCGCTTTGTTTCGGAAAACACCATTGAAGAGCGGATCCTTCTTCTGCAGGAGAGGAAACAACTCACCGTTGATAGCGCCTTGGCTTGCTTATTGGTGAAATCTCAGAAGAGCGTAAAACGCAAGTTGTTTTGTTGAATAGTGCAAAGCCAGGATTCATACCCTTGCAGAAGTCCGGAAGAACGCCATTTGTAGGATGTTGTGGCTTTAAGCAAGAAAAGGAACTACGTTCAATGCGCTAAAGGTAGACTCCTGGAGTTTTTGAGTTTGCGAACGTATATATATATATATATATACATCTATCTATACTGGTCAAGGACCTAGCTTATGTTCTGAAAGAGCTTTTGCTGATGCCAGCATATGCCAGCGTGCTGGGACCTCCTGATTTGGGATACATCCCCCAATAAACATGAGCGGTACTCGTACTACTTTTGGCTCAAGACAAATAGGAGCGTTGCTATTTTGTTCATGGTAGCGGAGCGCTCGGGGCGACCCCGGTAGATGTTTACCCTTTGGACCACCCTTCGGACTTGTATCTGTCAGAGAAGGGACCGCGCTGCTTTGAGGGTACTAAGGCTTTGGCGCCGGTTGGTGAATCGGCTGTTCAGGATGTGGAGGCTTCAACGCATCTTCGGATACCTGGGCCATCATCTGCAAGACTTGATCCAGACCCAGGCGTTCAGGCAACGGTTGTTGAACTCTCGGTTGACTCGACCGGGACTGATCATGCAGTGATGGTGGCCCTTGAGCAGATTGCGGCGCAGGTTGTGACCTTGAGGCGGGAGTTGAGTGAAAGTCGGAGGAGAGAAGAGGCCTTGAACACAAGGCTTCAGGCGGCGCAGAGTACAGGGGCTACGCAGGCGGCTTTGCAGGAGATGGTCAACACGCAGAAGGCCATTCTGGAAGCGTCCAAGAAGCCAGATAAGAAGCTGACTCTGGTCGACAACCGCAGTTTGGCAAAGCCACGCAACTTTGATGGTTGGGATGAGGGCGACTCGGGTTGGTACGGTGACTGGACCGAGGACCCGGGCTCAAACCCAGAAAACAATTTGCTGGTGTTGGGAGCGCTTCACCGCGCCCGAACCAACATGGGCAGCAAGAAGAACCCAGATCCTAAGAAGGAGACTCAGCCGAAAGCACCTGTGAGCAGCGGAATTGTCATGGATCTCAAGACCGCCATGAAGCGGCTGACGGCGGAAGACAAGGGCGGACCTTCACTTACTTGCTGACTCTGGATCTGGCTCCTCTGGGGATCGGTCAGTCGATGTGATGATGAAGCTGATCGAAGAGAACTACAAACTTCGCGATCAGATCAAGCGCCAGGAAGACAAAGAGACCCGTGGTCGGCGTGATTCGCGGGATTCATCCCGCGGACATTCGCGATCACTGGAGCGTGGACGCTCGCCCAAGAAGAAGGCTAAGCGCGATTCTACTGGCGAGGAAGAGCGCGTCGCAAGAGCGACAGCGGTGAGCGGAAGAAGCGTCATCGCAAGCTCATCGATGTGCAAACTACATATCCCAAGTCGGCGCCGCCAAGATGGGGACACTCTGCGAAGGCGGAGAGGCACGGACAGGAGCCGCAGCCACCGCCATTCCTTCCGATCTCAACTTGGAGGGATACATCGCGCAGGACATCACAGCTACGAGACAGCGTCCGCTGAGTCGCTGGCGGATGAGGGAGGAGTTGCGCTTCGCGGAACGGACGCCAACGGGAGCGTACATCGCGCCCTGGCCTTTGGGGCGAAGGTGGCGCGTCAACATCGCGCTCGGGGCGCGTGGCAGACTGTTGACCCCGAAGGATTCGCAAGCTGGAAAGGACTAGTATTCGGCGTTCTTGGAGAAGCTCTACAAGAAGCATGGGGGAATGACTCCGGAGCGCGCGCAATGGGACGGACTTTTGGATTGCGCCCAGATCAGGCGAAGGCTCGTGGAGGGCTTCCCAGTCGAGTCGGGTGTAAGTCCGGAACTCCAGCCGTTGGAAGATGCTCCAGCCGCGTCGGCGGGGGCGCCCGACGAGGATGAGTCGAGGTTGGAGAAGAGTAGAGGCAAGTGGTCGTAATGCGATCACCTGCGGATCCTACCAACCAAGAGGCGCAGGAACGTCGTGCAGCAGGGCACGTTGTTCACCGAAGCTGGTGCATCCACTGCCAGAGGGCTCGAGTAATGGGTCAGCGCCACAGACGTGGAGATACAGCTCAGGATGAAGATAAGAGGACGCCGCGCGTTTCACTTGATTGTATTGCTACTGCTGCATGAACTCAGGGCAGGAAAAGAGCGACTCCGACGGCGTTTTGCTGTGCTTGGCGTGTCACAAAGCAGGGCGTTATTGGGCGAATGTGGTTCCATCGAAGGGTGCAGACTTGTTTTCAGGAGAGTGGTTGAAAGCGTGCCTCAGTGAAACAGGTTTCAGTGAGCTTTGTTCAAAGAGCGACAACGAGCCGGCCATCCTTGCTCTCTGCAAGGCAGAGTGAAGGAGGAAAGCAAGCTGAGGATTCACCTCGCACTGGTTGAAGGTAAGAAGTGGAGGATCCCTCTGGTGAGTTTTGGCGAGCGCATTCTGCCAGGCCAAGGCTACCGCGAGATGGTCGATGACGTGATCTTGCACCAAGAGTTTCCATGGGAATGTTTGTTGGCGCAGGATTGCGCAACAACGACGTCTTCGTCATGACCGCGAGGGGAAGAGTGAAAGGCAAGACTATCATTCGAAGACCTCCTGAAGATCATATTATTAAGTACAGCTGGAGCGAGCTCTGGCGAGTTCCTTGGAACTTCAGTCACGTGACCTGGCGAGGTTCGAGTTGACCTGTCAGTCATTGCGGGGCCCATGACAAGGCAAATAGCAGAGGAGGTGATTCCGAGGATTCTCTGTGTGACGAAGAGTGACGTCGACAAGTTCGTCACACTGCATTGTGTCCAGGTTGTGAGGCACAGTTGATGGGAACGGGTCGCAGGGCCCGCAAACCACATTGCAGGTTCAGGATTGAGAGCGAGCTCATGAAGACCGAAAAGAAGGAAAGCAGAGGATTGAGGGTACAAAGGCTATAGGATTGATGCTGGGCGCCGCGCTAAGGCTCCAAGAGTCGGAAGCCGGGCTGGTGAGCCAGAGGTTGTGGAGGCTGCCAACGTTTCTGGGTATAGGTGTTCCAGAGCCTGATGCCGAAATGGCCTCGGGAGAAGCTGTTGGCCAACCACTTGAAAGAGTTGCACGCCGTGAACGTGAAGATCGAGGAGACGATCCCGCAAGCCCAAAGAAGAAGCAGAAGTCCGGCGCTCGTCGGGCGAAGAGAGATGCAGAAGCAGACATTGAGGAGCTGTGTCGTCAGATCTGCAGGCGCAGTTGTAGATGATGAAGGTGGTGATGGGGCCACTTTCATCGCTGGAAGCACAGATTCCCGGCCACCAAGAGTTCCAGTCGCGGCTCCAGATGCTTCATCTGGAGGCAGCGGTGTAATATAGGACAACTTTCTTTGTGCCTGTGTTCTGTTTTGAGAGACGCCCGAAAGAAAGGCAATGTACAGAAGACTGTTTCAGAGATCTTTTCACCGCCAAGAGTTTCAGCGTGAAGACGGAAGCCATTGGGACTTGAGCAAGCACTCCCGCATTGAGGAGCTGTTCGCACTGCTTGAGAAGGAGAAGCCTTCGCCGCCATGTGGACCGTTTTCACAGCTCCAGAACTTGGTCGACGTCCGGAACCTAGGTGCAAGAAGCATCTGCGAACTTCAGCGCGCGCCTATCGTGCACAGTGGACGCAGGCCGCTACTTTTTGCGCGAGCGTCTAAGACCCACGTGTCTATAGACCCCAAGATGGAAAATGGAATCAGAAGACGTGTGGGGCAAGGGCCCAAACTCGCCGCGCTTGGCGAGGACGCTATCTAGCGTATGCTCCAATAGCCAAGACAAGACTTGGCGTCGGCGCGTGAACCTCATCAATGGTCGGGCTAGATCAGCGCAAGTCTATACTGTTGGTTCGATGCATTCTCGAAGCGTTGAGAAGCCAACTTGGCTGCGGATGGCAAGTTCATCAGTTCTTGAATTCGCTGGGTGTTGGACCTGTATACCAGATGCCGCTCCAGTCATAGATGAAGAGCAAGAGTTTTTTGACCACCTTCCTTCCGCTGACTCACGTGACAGTCACCGAACCAGTCTATGACACCAACACTGGTGCAGGGTTGGACTTGGAGAAAGTGGCCGATGCTCGAACATCCGGAAAAGTCCCAATCACAATGAAATGGGTTGACGCAGCAAAGGCGGCAACGAGAGGCCCAACTACAGGTCTCGACTTGTTTGCCGTGAAATCAAGAGAGCCCGCAACGCAGAATACATCCCAGAGTACGCAAGCTTCAGCGCAACGCCACCCTTAGAGGCGTTGAAGATATTGCTTTCTTTGATGGTCGCGCTCAAGGTTTCCAAGCGCAATCGCAAGCTGTTGAAGGTTCGGCTGATTGACATCAGCAGAGCCCACTTCTATATGGACAAGCGCAGCGGGAAGTCTATGTCACCCTCCCCGTGGTACGCGAGACGCGGCCAACATCTGGCAGCAAACAAAAAAAGAATGTCTTGAACCAAGCCGGATTCCAGAGACCTCTTTCACGAGAGGCACGGCTGTTGGTCCATGGCGACAACTTTGTCATCCTGGGTGACGACGCAGCTCAGCAGCGCGCCGAGAAGGCGGCGAGAGAAAAATACGATCTCCGTGTCGACGGAATTGGAGAAGCCAAGCAGGAGTTCTGCGTCCTGAACCGTCTCGTACGCTTCGATGGGAGGACAGGAACAATCTTCTACGAGCCAGATCCACGCCGTGCAGACATCTTGCTGAAGGACCTCGACCTCGACATGGAAACGTGTAAACCAGTGAAGGGCCCAAACGAGAAGTTGACAGCAGAAGCATTGGCGAAGAGAATGGAACGTGATGTTGTTGATCCTCACCGGATCAGCCAGTACCGTTCTCCCACAATGCGTGCAGCGTTCCTATAATAGCTCTCGGAGACGGTGAAGTGTTTGGCAGCCAGGCAAGGAAAACGCAAGGTCCAACCGATGCCGATTTCGGAGACCTCAAACGTTTTGCCAGATACTTAAAAGGAACAATTATACGCATGGTGCAGCGCAGAAGTTCACTCCGCAGAAATTCGGCGATGATGTTGTTTCAGTTCACGCAGACTCAGACTTTGCTGGATGTCTCTTGACTTGCGACGGGTCTGGTATGTTACTACGGGCGACACTCGCTTCGCCGCTCGAGCAACCTCCAGTCCACGGTGAGCCTGTCGTCGGGTGAGAGCGAACACTATGCCTTGGTGAAAGCTGTAGCCTCGGGCATGGCGACCCAAGAGCTACTCAAAAGTTGGGGCATCAACGCGAAGCTCCACATGTACACCGACTCAACCGCAGCGCTCGGAACATGCAACAGTCTTGGACTTGGGAAATCGAGACACATCCAGACACGATTCCTCTGGATTCAGGAGAAGCTAGCAGAACGAGCTTTTGAACTGTTCAACAACGACGCAAAGCTGAATACCGCTGACATATGTACGAAAGCGCTGGCCAGTGAAGCTGTAGAAAGCCATTTGAAGGCGATGGGTTTTGAAGCACTCTCAGGAGTGCATAATCGGTCCCAAAGTGGACGTCAGCTCGAATCACCTAACGTCCAGGTGGGGTGACTTGGCATACATACGCTCATAAACATGAGTGGTACTCGTACTACTTTTGGCTCAAGATAAATAGGAGCGTTGCTACTTTCTGTTCAAGGACGTAACTCATGTTCTGAAAGAGCTTTGCTGTTGCAAGCATATGCCAGCATGCTGGGACCTCCGAAGGTCGCAACCAAAGTGTCACATGGTACAATGTGGAAACGCTAGATGAGTTAGGAACTCTAGGTAGGCATCTCCAAAGCCAATGACTTTCAGAGGCTTCCGGCACGGAGGGCAATCTGAGTTTTTGTTGATAGTGCTAATGCTGGCTGTTTACTGGCATAAGCAAACTCGCTTCAATTGCCAATTACTTCATCGAGCAGGTCATGGTTGGCAGACAGGATAATAGTAATGTTACGCACGGGGCTTGCACATGGTTTGGGGTCATTTTTCTTGCTTGAAATTCAGCACATAGTCCCACCTCATTGGTTGCAAGCTACCATTGATGCCGCATACGACCTACGGTATGGCAAATGAGATGAGTTTCATTTTTTGTGCCATCAGCAGCTCATCTGCCCAATCTTTGGTCCGTTCATTTCGTGACTCATTTCCGGCTAGTATATGTCTCTTGCGGAAGATCTGCAAACGTACTTGTGTTTTTGTTGCAACAAGGGCCGTTTCTGTGGATCTATTTTTTCGGGCAATACCCATGTGTCCAAAATGTGGTGTTCCAAGGACTTCCTGTTTCGATGTACGGTTGCTTTGAACCAGAGGCGTTGAAGTATCAAAACATGGAACATTCTTCGTTTTCACGCTCAGGCACCATCGGCGGCAGCAACAGCGCCTTATTGAAACTGACAAGTTCAGATGTGCAACTCCTGTTTCGAGACTGATCCATTGAACCCTGCCAAGGGCAACTTCACGGATGAGATTGGAGCCTCAGATTTGAGTAGTGTTTTTGACAGTTTCAGTGTTTTTAATGTCGATGTCATGAACATATATATATATATATATATTGGGTTTTTCCTTTGCAAAGTTCAAAACACAATTTCAATGGGCAACGGGGGCAATTTTTGTAGGGGAAGAGTTGAGCGGAGTGGAGATGCGGATGCGCAGAGCAGGACACCCTGAATCTAAGTGTAGTGTACCTTCCTCGGAATTGTCAGTGCAGGGCTACACGGGAAATTCAGCAGTTGCCCAGTTTGCCAGTGCTCCTGTGAAGGCAGCTACAAGAGCAGGAGCATTCTGCAGAGCCGCACGGCCTTTATTATTGACATCCTTGCCAGGAGCGGCCGTCGCTCTTCGCTACTTCGACTCCTTGGCTTAGGCGGCACCAAGGAGTGCTGTGACGAGCTCTGCGCATCTGAAGTGAAGCACCCTGGAGGGTGCCACTCCGGAGGTGGAAAAGAAGAAGGAAGGAGAAGGATGGGCGAATTGCCATGCTTGTCATCCTAGAAGCCTTCGCAGAGCCACGCACGCCTTTGGGAGCGTGCTGGAATTGCTGGCTTCCAAGATCATTGACTTTTGCGTGTGCCTTCCAAGAGAGTGGTCCTTGGTTAGATAGATGCCTATGCAAAGGAGCCTGGCGGGGCTGCAGTGACTAGGGCCGAAAAGATGCTGCTGCGGCATTTCGTTGATAATTTGATACAAGCTATGATATCAGTACAAACTCGAACATCCTTGTGCACTTCAATTTGAAGGGCCAACACAAGTTCAATTCAAGATGCCTGAGGGCATAAGCCAGGTGGAACTAGCTACCAACGTCCCTCCATACTGTACCACCCCAAAATCATTCATTTGGCAGCATCCACCACGAAATGCTTGCGCTAAGTGTGTGCTTTTCAGGTCGCGCTCTCGTCGCAGGGGTGGCAACTCGTTGCAGGCAGCCTGGGTGAGCGACATCGTTGAACGGTTTGTTTGACGGAAACCAATCCGCCGGCACCCTCTTTGTCTCGAGAATCTCCCCTCTTTGTAGAATGGCAGCACCTTGGACCGGACCTCTTTTCTGAATTGGATCCACTGAAGAGGGCTTGTGAGTGTTTCAGTGTTTGTTTGTGTGCACGTTGCATCTCCATTCATCCCAGTCGCAGGAAGTCCGCATGCCCAATTTTCGTTCTATTGCATGCTTCACAAAAACTAAAGAAACGGTTTAGTTTGGTCCACAATTCACGATGTTTTGGGAAGTTCAATAAGTTGGCCACATCTGCCAGAGAGGACGAGCTCCGCGCAGATCGGGGTGAGGAAGCGCCCCGGGAAGAGCCTCGTCAGGAGGCGCTAAGAAGATCAATTTGCCCGAGTCTGTTTATCTAATAATACGTTTAATAGTTTAATAGGTTTCTACGGAGCTCAACCATATTGAACCCGTGTTTTGTAACAAGGTGAACAACTAGCATTTAGAAAACCTCGAGGGTCTGTTTGTCTACCTCTTCTTGGCCTTTGCTAGGAGGCGCCTCCACCGCCAGAGGAACCTCGGCGAAAGAAGTCACGCTGGGGAGAGGCACCTGAATTTGGATGGACTTTGGGATGGATCTGACAGATGAGAGCAAGAGTGTTCAGAAGTTCATCTCTTATCGTCTCAGAAAGACATGGGATCTCGACTTGCAGTTTCGCAGATTTTGTGACAGCTGCCTGACTTGAAGCTTGTGCCATTCACATGAGATGCAAGTATTCCAATTTGGGTGACACATTATATACCATATATTAAAAAAATACACACACAGACTAACTTGGAACTGACAAAGACCTTCATGCTGTTGTGCTTTGTGATCAACCGGTTGTTGTCACTTGTGTTGAAAAAGCACCTGTGGCCCAATGCAGTGGCAGGAAGACCCTTTGGCCGCAGCAGGCCAGTTCTAGCTTTACATTGAACTGCCGAGTTTGTAGGATTGCCGTAGTTATGAAGCACCTGTTTGCATTCAACAGATTCTGAATTGTGCTACACTTTTTACTCTGACACTTGCTCGTGAGCACACTTTGTGCAGGAATTCCAGAGTGGCTGCGGGACCAGTTTGCCGTGCCCAAGCTGCCGCCAGAGCCCACAGTCCGTGCCGGCCAGCGCAAAGTGAAGGCACACGGTGAAGTGACGGAGATCGCGGAACAAACGGTGACTTCTTTGTGTGCAACTCAAGACCCTTTTGTAGACAAGATTGAGTCGCTTTGGCATAGCGAGCTCACATTGACATACCAACCGCATTCTTTTGACTCTTTTTCCATCGTCCCACTGCCCACTCTGCTTATTTCCGTAGTCACAGTCCAAGTGCGGCATGACTTCCTCAGCATTGCAGGTACCTCAGCATTGCGTGGGCCGAATTCTTGGGAAGATGGGCGCCACGATCAATGAGATCCAGGAAGCTTCAAACACCGACATCAAGATGAACCAGGCCGCGAGCTCCGCACCGGTGGAGGTTTCATCCATGCGCTGATGGCGCATGGCCAAAGACTTTCTTTTTGTGGTGTGCGATCTCTTGCCAGGACACCAAGGAAGCAGGATACAGCTATGTGGCTTGCCCAACTTATGTAGCAAAGGAATCGAAACCATAGTCGCTCTGAGACTTCGAGGCCATAGTCACCAGCATCAAGAATGTGGAAGGCGACCTAGACACTGCGGAACGTCTCATCAATGAGAAGATCGCAGGCATGGCGTGATGCCACGATGACATGGCAGCTTGAATTCCAATAGACAGCTAACATGGCAGGTGGCGGCGGTGGTGGCGGTGGTGGCAACAGAGGCGGTGGCGGTGGTGGTCCGGAGCCTCGAAAACAGCCAAAGCGAATGTAAGGTAGAGGGCAATCACTTATTAATTATGACTTCTGCACAGCTTTTCTTGGCTCAGAATGCTGGAAGGAATGGCTCAGCCGCTGCCAACTCCTGCTGGCAATGAGACGAAGGTGCCAGGGTCTAGAGGGAACAAGAATACCTCATCTCAGCTTCCGAGTATATATGTCTTGACGGAGCAGAACGAAAAGTGCTGGCCTTGTTGGCATGGTTTGGAGTCAACATTTTGCAGGAGATGAGGGTGGAGAAGGCTGGAGCTGCCACACTCTAGACTCCAGGTTCAGATGTTCCTGAACGATGGGAGTTACAACCTTGTCTTGTCCCACCACGTCCTAAGCTTCTGCAGCTTCGCAGCAAAACTGGGAGGCCATTGTCGGCAGCTTGATCGGCAAAGGCGGCGAAGTTATCAGGACTGGCTTAGATAAGCAACAGGTGTCGTTGCTCGTGAAGACACAGATTGAGTGGACACTATTCAAACTTCTTCAACAATAGTGTTCCCAGATCCACTCAGTACTTGTGCAACTTGTGCTGCACGTATTCTCTTTCGGGAGCGTTCAAGGCCCTGCTGAACACCATTCCAGTTTATGAGTAGACCGGTACAGTCCCTTTCAGCTACTAAATGTTTAGGATTCTTTAGCTTCCCTTGAGTCCGATTCCGAATCGCATGACAGGATGATGACCTCCGAAGCCGGATGCCAGATTCAGATTGCTCAAGACCAAGTTGGGCTGGCATGCTGCTGCGCTTGTTTGAAACACCTAGTAGTAATGCCCTTTGTTACTATTAGCGGTGCCCTTGTTACTGGTAGCGTCTTGCTCCTAGTAGTAATGCCAGGAGCTACTAGTAGCGTTCTTGCTACTAGTTGTCAAAAGTCAAGAGTGGCGCTCCGACCGAGGATCAAACACAGGCAGGAGAGGTGGCCACTGTTACTTGGCGACGAACCGTGGGATGTGGGTTTTCGGGGTAGCGCCGAGCAGTGCGGGACCCTGTGACTGAAGGTCATCCTTGGTCCCGGCTCTCTTGACCAACTGCAGAAGGCCGAGGATTTGATCCAGGCACAGAAAGCGCTTGGGGCAGTAGGATCTTTGGGAGTCTGTTCTGGTCACAGGCTAAGATTGCTGAGAAGTCCTTTGGTGGCAAGGCTCAGATTCCGGGGACTTGCCTGAACACAAGGGCGCTGTTGCGTGCACTTTGACCCAATCCAAAGGAAGAAGCTTCTTTCTTTGGGAGAGATGCTCTCGTTGTTGGCCTTCTCCAGGGTGGTGGAGGGCCAATGGGCGGCGCCATCAGGCGGAAGACGAGTTTGATCAGCACACAGAAAAGAAGCAAAAGCTGTTCAATCCAAAAGCAGCGGTCGGTTGTGCCAGGCCCGGACCCTTGGGCTTTCCCCGCCCAGTGAACAATGTGCCGCCGCCCATGGGAGGTGCGAAGGGGCAAAGGGTCAAGCCCAGATATGTTCCTTTTCTGGGTGACAAAAGACTGCTCAGCTTCGAAGATCTATACAAAGGTAAATTCTGGGTGGGCCACTTGGCCAGGTATGTGTCCACCACCACCAGCCGCCGGCTTGTCTGGAGTACCTCGACCGCCCTTGCCATTGAATCTGAGCCCCGGCTTGGGTGGAGGACGGAGATAGAACGTTGAGTGGGTTTTGGAATATGCATTGATGTGAATCACAATGAAAGGATTACGACGAAGTGCACAAAGAAAGTGAAAGCACATGGGAAAGAAGAAGAAAAACAACATGTCTGTCGTTTGTATACCATATCCCGACAGGCAAGGGCTGTGGTGGCCCAGGCTGTGGTGGCTGCTGCCCGCCAGGCCCACCAAGTGGCTGCACCCTTGGTGGGTGCAGTGGGTGCTGTGGAGGCTGTGGCCCCGGCTGCGGAGGGGGCTGCGGCTGTGGAGGCTGTGGAGGCTGTGGAGGCTGTGGTTGTGGTGGCTGCGGTGGCTGCGGCGGTTGTGGCGGCTGTGGTTGTGGAGGCTGTGGGGGGCCAGGAGGCTGCAGTCCAGGCTGCGGGGGTTGTGGGTGTGGAGGCTGTGGTTGTCAAGGTTTGGGTGGCTGCCCACCAGGGGGCTGTGGATGTGGAGGATGCGGCTGCGGCTGTGGAAGCTTTGGCAAAGGAGGTGGCAAACAATGGGGACCACCTCCGCCTGGATGGTGAGTAGCGTGAGTTTTGGGCACGGCGTTAGTTGCACAGGCACACGGCATGTGTGGCCAGAAAGGGTGTCAACATCGTCCACACATCAAATTTCTTTCAAATTCACAATTCTTTTTTGGATAAGTGGGGCGATGTGTTGATACATATTCACGCCAAAGGAAGCATGACTTCACCCTGCATATTTTGGCGCTGTCCTCAAAATATCGCAAACACATATGGCAATTTGATTTTTATTATCAATATAAATATGGGCTAGGATAGAATATATATAAATATAAATATATATATATATAAATAGATAAAATTAACATATATTTGGAATTATTGTAATAAAATATATATAAATAAATATATATAATCTAAAATTTAAATTAAAACAATGAAATATCTTAAACAATTTGATTATTAATCAAAATAATTATATTATATATATAATATACGAATATATTCACGTCGCTTCGCGACGGTAATCGCCCGTATCGTATGGAAGGGGATGATATTTCTACCGAACATAGTCCTGGAAGTGATTTTTTCTTGGTTATGTTTTGAAATAGGGATTTAATATGGTTTAATATAATTGGGGGGTTAGAAGATTGTTATCGGTAATAAGGAATACGATTTGGAAGGGGGTATTGTGCTTTTGGAATTAAGGGAGTTAAAATAAAAGGAAGATAGGAATTTAAACGTCATAAATCGAGGTATTTCTTTTTAAGATAGCTTAAAATCGTGCAATTCGATTCGTGCAATTCGGTTTAATAGGAATATAGATAAATTGTTTTAACGTGGCCCGATATAATTTTTATATTGTCGAATATGCCTAGAACGGCCTTTCTTTCTTTTTAATGTGGTTGAATATAGTTACCATATTGCCTGGAACGTCGTAAATATAAGGCTTAATACGAGTAGAGATAAATAGAGATAAAATCTGGGCACGATAACAATTTTAGAAGATTTTATCTTTAGCATGTTAGGGATTTGAACGTCGTAAATATGGCTTAATGGAACTTAAAATCGATTAGAATTTGGCGTGTCGGGTAAGCTTCCGGAAGGGAAACGATTTGGAACGGGTTTTTGTGCTTTTGGAACCAAGGAATAGAATATGAAAGGAATATTGTTCGGATACATGCAATAGAACGGCTTCCTTGGATAATATAAGGTTAATATGCAGGTTATAAAATTCGTGAAATGTAATCTTAAGGCATGTGTAAACAAGTTCGGGCACAAGATGTTCGGGCACAAGACTGCAAGCATGTTCGAATGAATCTCATCAGGGAAAGGAATGATACGATATTCGATAGTCCAAAGGCCTTTTCAAGTAGTCGTAGTTACTGCAGGGCCGCCACCACTACCGGAAATATCACGATAGGACGGTTAATCCTGGCAGATTCCTTTCTTTTTCAAACAAGCTTAGGCTCAAAGACTACAGCCATTTTAGCATGGATTTGATGAAGGCAAGAAATGGTCCATATTTTAAAATATAAGTAAAATGTTACAGAAGGGTCGTCATTACTATTAGAAACGAGTTTTTGTGCTACAACCATTTGGGTATAGGTCTAATCAAAGGTAAAGGATAACGCTATCATGCAAAAAGTTATGTTTATTTTAAGATACATGGATTATTTCGGTTAAATATGTAAAATATGGCACGAAAACGGGAGATTAGTGGGCCATACAGCGTATACGATCAAAGAAAGACCGCTTTAAAGTAATCAACCAGAAAAAATGAACAATCTCCCTTAATATTCTTTAAGACCTACGAACACCACAATAGACTTGTTTAATAATCCACGACCGGAAAATGCATAATTTCCAACCTAGACGCGTCTTCCTGCAATAATTGCTGCGGATATTTCCAATGCGGAGATCGATAGCGAGGCGTAATAAGTCGTGGTATCCATCGATCGACACCGGAAATGACCTATTCATGTCGTCATTAGCGATGGTTATTTTCGCTACTTCAACCGTAGCCGCATTATTGCATTGATAAATAATATACCATCACTAAGGGTCCTATATTTCCAGAAGGCTTCTAACCTAGAGGTATCTCTTCCGGAAATACCTATGGCGAATACTTCCAGCGCGGAAATCGGCGATAAAAACAAAACGCACTAGTAAATTATATACCATTACTAAAAGTCCTGCTAAATAAATATTCAATATTTATTGCAATATTTTCCAAAAGGATGGTGAATTAAGGTTTCAATTTCCCTAGCAATTCAGGTAATCAAAGAAAACAAAATAAAAGAATTCTTATGCAAAAGGTCATGTTTTGCATGTACAGGCGTTCAACTACCCTGGGCAAAGCTCGATTGTGCTACCTAACTAAACGTACAACTATATGACAGGTGTGGTCCCATGTTGCACCTACCGGAAGCTATCTAGGACTGTATGCGAGCAAATAAGACGTATCTTTACTTTATTCCAACCCGTTTTCAGCCCATTTTGAGTCCCTGTCTGCGACGTTCAAGTCCCTATCTCGAGGAGACATGCTTGAGATAGTGACTTTGCAAGCTTTTCCAGTTCCTTTTGAGCCCTCGTTGGGCCATGTTAGGCCATGTTTACGATGTTGCCGTTCCGGAACGTGATCTCTGCTTATCTCTGCTCCTGCGGAGCCAAATAGCACTTCTAAAGCTATGTCAGGCAATATAGAAGTCCCTATCTCGCAAATACGTCCTTTAGATAGTGACTTCTAGGGCTATGTTCACTCTATTCCAGTCCCTTTTAGCCGTCGTTGGGCCATGTTTACGACATTCAAGTGCCTATCTCGGGGAAGCATACTCGAAATAATGACTTCTGGGGTTATGTTCGACCATATGGGAGCTATGCTCGTAAGATAGTGTTGCCGT